GGGGGGGCCAGGGGAGGCCCTGCCAGTGCTGCAGCATCTCCCCCCCCCCCGTGAGTTCTCCCAGCTCAGCTCTGCGCCTCCCACCAGGAGAGCGACCCTGGCACCCAGCCTGCCTGGCGTATTGCCTGCAGGAAATGTATCGGGGGAGCCAAAACTGGGGGCGCACAGAGCAGCTGGCATGGAGGGAGAAGGGGGGAGCCTGGTGCAGGGGAGGGAGGAATGGAGGCCACACAGAGCCCTTCCCGGGGGGAGGAAAATGAGACTTTGGTATTCAGGAGGGAGAAATGGGGGTTGTCCAGGACCAGTCAGGGAGTCTGCTCAGGCGGGCAGCCAGGTACCGCGAGCTCGGCCCACAGGAGCGTGCACCCCTAGAGACCCTGGCTGGCTAGTCCCCGGCATGTGACTCTCCCCAGAGTTCTGCCCCTCCCATCTCCTGGGCCCCCCGGCTGGCAGAGGCAAAGCGGGCACCCTTGGGAGCTGGAGCATGCGCCTCTCGTCCACACCCCTGTGCCCTTGCTTACGTGGTCACGCCATCGTAGTCCCCGCCAAAGCCCACGGCCGCGGCGCCGGCCACCTTCTTGATGTGATCCAGGTGATCTGGGGGGGGGGAAGGTGCCAGAGGTGAGTGAGCAAGGCTGTGGGCAGGGCCCCTGCGTCCCTCGGGGCTGGCACCAGCTCACCTGCGACCTGGGACAGGTTGGCAGCCTCCTTCTTGCAGGACACGTACAGGTTGTAGAAGTTCACCATCACCAGGCCGCCCGTCTGGTTCTGGGGGCAGAGACGCACCTGGGTTCCCTCTCGGCTCCGTGGCTTTTAGTGCCACAGCTGCCAGCCCCACCCACTCACTAAGGGCTGGCGGGCGGGGAGGCTGCTTGTGTGAACACAACGCCCCGGGCCCCACTGGGCGGATCTGGACCTTGGAACTCAGTGTAGGAGCCTCTCCAGCGAGAAAGCCAGCTGGCCCTCAGCTGAGGCTGTGGAGCTCACTGGTTCGTCTCTGGTGGCATGGGACAGTGACTCTCGCTCGCTGTGTGTTGGTTACACTCGCACCGCACTGGCTGCGGCAAACTGGCTGTTAGGGGGTAAATGACTGAAGTGTTGTTGTTTGATGGTGAGATTCAGGCCAGGTCTGCACTCCGGGGGAAGGCTGCCCCAGGATACGCAGCTCCAGCTGTGAGAACAGCATAGCAAGGCAACAGGTCGAATTTTGTGGTGTCCCCACTGCAGGGGGTTGATGGGAGAAACTCCCCCTTCCTCCTCACGGAGAACCGGGGTGGACAGGCACTGTCCGCAATTGATTTAGCAGGTCCTTGCTAGACCCACTAAATCAAACCTGAGAGATGGATCTCCGAATGGGGATCTTGGGGTAAGTGGAGACAGGCAGCTGAGAGGCCCAGGTGCTGCCCTGCAGCAGGGGTGCCAGGCCCTCCTCAGCCCTGGAGAACTCCCCCTTCCTCCTCACGGAGAACCGGGGTGGACAGGCACTGTCCGCAATTGATTTAGCAGGTCCTTGCTAGACCCACTAAATCAAACCTGAGAGATGGATCTCCGAATGGGGATCTTGGGGTAAGTGGAGACAGGCAGCTGAGAGGCCCAGGTGCTGCCCTGCAGCAGGGGTGCCAGGCCCTCCTCAGCCCTGGAGGAGCCGCTTGCTCGTGCCCTGGGACTATTTCCTTCCTGACTGGCGGGCGGGGCCCACTGGCTGGGCCTGTTCCCCCCAGCGCCTGTCTCTACAGGTGCTGCCGCCGCCCACGGGCTGGTCTCTGCCCTGGTCTCTTGTGGCGGAGGAAGCGCTCGGTGTGATGGGCTCTCTTACCACCCTGCGCGCCTGCTTCTGCAGAGCTCATAGGCTGACGAGTGGCTGAATATAACGGGAGCTTTGGAGACCTCCAGCGCGTCCTCCATCGTCTGCACGGACACGTGGGCCAGGTCGACCAGCATGCCCAAGCGGTTCATTTCTCGGACCACGCGCTGCGGGTGGGTTAGTGACAGGTGCTGAGCACAGGCTGCCCCCGGCCCTGGCCAGTCTGACAGGTATGTTCTCCTGGGCCCGTCAGCCCGCTTAGACCCGCCCCACTGCCCACGTGGGACCTCGCCCCCGCCCTGTGCGAGTGAGGTGTGAGCTGGTGCAGACAGCAGGGCTCCGGGTATCGGGGCAGTCAGCCCACAGGCTCTGAACCCCACCCCTGGTGCCAGCAGCGAGCACGGTGGCCCAGCAGCTGGGTTTGCCTGCCAGGGGCTGGCGCCGAGCGTTGGTTCACCAGGATCCGAGGGGCGGGGGTGCGAAGGGGGAACCAGGCATCCAGGGGCTCAGAAGGGTGAAGCAGGGGCAGGAGTTGGACCCTGCCAGGCTGCTGCTGGCCTGGGGAGGGGGGCGG